GTAGTTGCTTAACACTAACAATAAACCTCGGCAAACATGCAAAACTTTAACGTGACTTTCATTATACCAAAACCACGTATTGAACTCTTGATTCGGCGCCAGAAATGTCATCTGAACCGATTCATTTATTACTTCCTCGTGATCGCGCGCATTTGGCCACCAACCCATTAAACCGACAAAACGGTGCAAATGTGTCCACTATCCTTACCTTTAACTTACACGTTTTAACACACCCATATGATTTTCCACAGCAAGAGGGCATTCTTAGATGGTTAATCGTGTTTTTGTACCACTACCAGTCGGGTTGTAGAGGGAGCTCTCTACAGTTTTTATCCCTTCAGTCGTTTATTGCTTGAGGTTGGTCTTTCAATAAGAGTGAGCGGTCGCACCGAGACCGACGACCGCGGCGATTCAGAGGTGTTTTCAGGCGATAAACAACGGGATTCTGGAAGTGCACGGCGGCGAGGCTCGGTCTTATCGAAAATGGCCATCGGTGTCATTTAGCAACGACATCTTCCTCGTTTGGTTTTAATCTGCGCAATACGCTAGCATCGGCGGCAGAACGAATGCTAAACCGCCAAAAACGCATTTAAATGTTTATATATTTACATTTAAACTTATCATTTTGGACTCCGGGAGTGAAAAAGACCAAAGGGCGAACACAGGCCGCGGTGATGGGACTTTATTATCGCCGAACCGGGTCAATGTTTCATCGACTCGGGTTTGAATTTAACTGCTCGAGGAGGGGCGCGAACACGGCGATAGGCGCGAGCTAAAATGTATTTTACGGCTTGAAATCGCACATATGCCGCTTAAAACCCCGCGAATTTGACGTTAGTGAATTTAAATGCTTGTTTTACACTGTTTGGGTGTGGCAGAACTGGAAATTGGTTAACTTTGAGAAGCATATTAGCTGGTTGGCTAAGTGCGCGTGCAGAAACGGCGGGTTTCTAAAGACAGGAAACAAAGAGAAGAAACAGAAAATGGACGCCTGGCCTAAAGATTGAATCAAACATCCTGTCGTTAAATAATAGCATCTTGGTGAAATGCTGTCTGATATAGTTTCAATAATGCTTAGTAATCGGGCTGAAGCCCGAACTTCTGGGTTATAAATGTTTTTTGCTAAATTTTCGATAACGATAGAGGGAGACAAACACCCCCCGCCAGCCGCCTGGACTGGGAGCCCCATCGTGACACCTAGAGGCCGATTAAAGCTCCTGCAAAACTCCCCCCTTTCGGAAAAGTAGTGCTGTTTTACCTGCGTTTGGTGATTTACTCTCGCGTTGAATTCGACAGAAAGCCCAGGGTTTGTTCTTCCTTCAGTACGAGACGGAGTAAAATTGCGTCCTTCACCTCCAGCGGTTTTAATCCTCTCCCGCTTTTGCAGAGTAGGCTCCGCACAAAATGGCGGCCCTTAGCGGCTGTTGCGCATGCGCGCCACGCAGGGGGGCGGTGGCGTGGGGGAGGGCTGTAAACACAAGCAGTGTGCGGATTGGCCGTGTGGGGCGCTACTTTTGAATTACGGATGTGGGCTTTTCTTTTTCTTTTTTTTCTTTTAAGAAAAGCGTTGAGTAAAATGTCTATGTATAATATTATGTTAAACATTGCAGCTGATTCTCTTATCACAATATTAGAAGATAATATGATAGTTTAACAGCCCAAATTAGAAATATAAGAGGGAATGATAGTGTGAGAGCCTGTTTTATATATATATATATATATATGTATGTGCGTGTGATTTTACATCTTTTTTCTCTAAACTTATTTTTAAAAATCTGTAGGCTATCATCAAAAAAAACCTTATGAAAATATCATGTAGGAACCTATACAGTCTATGGTAGGAACCCTGTTTTAAACAATAAACTATTGAAACCTAGTCTCTGTTATGTAATACTATTTTTTTCCTTGATAATGACTGTTTGAGCATGCATGTATTAAAGTGTAAATGCTCCAATTATGTAATTCCTTTATTTTTCAATTTTCTTAGTGACAAAGTACAAATAACAGGTATCAAATTTGTTAATAAATAAGTCACCCAAGTTTTAGAGTCCATAATTTTAATAGTTTCCTTTACAGTTGATGTCAGCAATATCCTTGTCAGACAATATACATATTTAGAGTAAATAAAAAAAATCAAAAGTAAATCACTTCTTTAATGCTGCACAATCTGTAGATAATAATGAAAAATATATTTAAATCTGTTCTGCAGTTTGCAATCCTAAACCGCAGAGTGTTGAGTTTTAAATAAAGTCATTCTCATTCTCATTCTCTTGCTCCCCATACTACTTTGAGGCACTTATACACTGAAGAGGCGTTCTTTGTCATATTTAAGTCTGGAACAGATTGAACTTAATGTTATGTAAAAATGAACGAACCTTCTCTGGTTCCAACTCAGAACCTTTCTGTCTAGCAGCACTGGAGAAATGCTCTGAGTCAAACATGATCTATGGCCATTCTACAGATCACGAGCGTGGAAAGGTTGTCGGAACCTCTTGCAAAAGGCAATATTCACCACAGTTTACAGCTTTCACTCATAATAATGATGACATCTTCAAATATGAATAAAAAATAAACAGCTTCACCACTTTTACAGCAGATATTACAATGCCAGTGGCTTAAACGTGAAGTGAATGGTGAATCAAATCAGATCTGTATTGGCTATTGAGCATTTAAACATTTAAACTAAATTACAACACAAAACATGTACACTTCCAATGGAATATAGATATATATTCTGTATCAATAAAGCAAATGACAGTATGGAATGGCACTGTTACTATGGCAACAAGGCCCCTATGAAAGTTTGGGATTAATAAGGAAATACTTTCCAAGATCCCCATACGTTTCGAGGTGGAGACCCCCTCAGCCACCAACATACATTCTCCAATCATTATGTACACACACATAAGCACTCTTAACAAAGTGGACAATCAGATTCTCTATGTACTCTGCAGGTAGTCACTGCCTTACTTGCACCAATAAAGTGAAAACCACACTTTATCTCCCATCGCTTGTTTTGCTGATCAGGGTCCAGCTTCATTCCATGAATCATGAAGGCAACACCACTGGGCTGAATCTTAAGGCAGCAAAACATTCTTTATAAACCCATTCCCACTATGTATCTTACCTCATCACTTTACAGTAGTTCATCTTAGGCCATATCCAAAATATTAAGAGCATACAGGCTGACATACAAGACCTCTTGTCCAATGATTGTATAACATCCGTCCACGTCTTTGAGGACAATGCTGATTTGTGTCATTAAAACTGTTTGATAGTTTTTTTAATAGTGTGCATTTAAAGTTTGTAATTGGCATGATCATGACGGTGAGGATACTGAGACGCAAGTACAAGTATCGGTCAGTTGATTGTGTTAGAAAGCTGTACTGGTCATGCTGCCGGGCGCAAACAGCCGGGACATTCCATCTTGTGAGGACTCAAGGTGTCGATGGGCTATCTTCCCCTCCTCACCTGCAATTAAAACAAATGAAACGCAAATAAGAGACATTGTCCTACCCTCTAAAGTCTCAATACCTTTCGACCAATTCATTTTTATGCATTTAATTTAAAATAAATACTAAATGTAATCATGAATTACTATATTTTTCTTCTTCATTTTGTTTTTAAAATGTTTTTTTTTTACAGACTACAATTCTTTTTTTGACAGATTAAATTTTTTTCAGCTGAAAATAAGTACAAAGTTGTACATTCATTATAAAAATCTCGTAAATTTCCCTGTCTATTACTGCCTGGAAATTCATTTTTAAATTCTCTGATCTTTGCAAGTTTTCCATGAACACAGTTGGAACACATTTGCAGTAGGAGCTGCACGATTCTGGATAAATTGAGAATCCCGATTTTTTTTGTCTCAAATAGAGATCACGATTCTCCCACGATTCTGAACTAAACAAAATAATGTGTGGCAAAATATGATTGCTGCAGTCTATTTAAACGTGTTTAATTAATTTGAATGAAGCATTAAACATTTTAATATACACTACCAGTCAAAAGATTGACACAAACGTTAGGTGGCAGTTACTTTCAAACGCGGATTTGCTCTATTTTGGTCGTACTACCATAGACATCAATGTTTATATTGGAATTGTAAACTTTCATCCCAGTATTTCTGTGATAATATGAATGACTGTACGACAGAAATAATACTGTGTAGTTGAAAAGACTGTTTGTGAAGCTGTTTCTTAACCAAACATGTTAACTGCTCTCTGTGTCAGCGGCAGTGCGAACGCGGATTTGAATGATCCGGTAAGACTTTGTCAAAGGTTTAATAGACACGGGAGAATCGTTGTCATTTAGAAATGAGATTGTGTGGTTGTCGGAATTGAGATCACGATCTTTTAACGATTAATCGTGCAGCTCTAATTTGCAGCAGATACATTCTTTCACTTTCATTACCGATCTTTCCTTCATGGGTCCATTTCCTGTTGTTTAGTCCACTGCTTACCTAGCACAAGCAGAGCTTGTTTGGCAGCATCCCTCACATCCTCCTTATCTGTCCGGCACAGATATACCAGCTGCTCGATGCTCTCTTTGGCCTGTGATGCACAAACACAGACATCAGGGCACTTTACTTACAATCCTCCACCAACACCGAGGTGTGATGCTGCATACAATCTGATTCCCACACTCAGATTACTAGAGCACATCTAACCACCAGGCTCTTGATGTTATGCAAGCATATATACGTATATATATACACAGTGTCGGAAAAAATAAATGTTGATTGAGTGGTGCTGGGTTATTGCGGAGAGATGTTTATACATGCATGAACTGACCTTCAGACATGCGAGTGCTTTACATCCACACACACGCGTCTCAACACTTTCATCCTCCAGCAACTCTAGACAGCTCACCAGCGCCTGAGACAGAACAGTAATGAGAGACACTGAGTGGATCAAATCAAAATCCTTTCTGAATAACAAAGCATTACAACTTCACTTTGCACTTAATAGTCACGATTAGGGATGCGCCAATATTAAAGGGATAGTTCACCCAAAAATGAAAATTTGATGTTTATCTGCTTACCCCCAGGGCATCCAAGATGTAGGTGACTTTGTTTCTTCAGTAGAACAGAAACGAAGATTTTTTAACACAAACCGTTGCAGTCTGTCAGTCTTATAATGGAGGTGAATGGGAATCACGGCTTTGAGAGTAAAAAAAAAACATACACAAACAAAACCAAATCAAAGCCTGCGGCTCGTGACGATACATTGAGGTCTTAAGACACGAAACGATCGGTCTGTGCAAGAAACTGAACAGTATTTATATCGTTTTTTTACCTCTGATTCATGCAATGTGCGAACTGTTCGAACTGTCCTGAGCGGCGGCGCGTCCTCCTGAGTGCGTTCTCAACAGCAGGCGCATGAGGCGTCTTCTTCTTCTTCTTGCTTTACGGC